TGTTCCGCACAATGGTCCAGCTCCGCCTGCGCCTGCCCGTCGCGCCGACCGACGTGGCCTGCCCACTCTGCGATGGTGTAGCGGACCGGTTCGGCGCTCACTCGCTGTGCTGCCCGTGTGGTGGGGACCGAATCAAGCGCCAAAACCGTCTCCGCTCCGTCGTCGCTACACGCAGCCAAGCCACTGGGCTCGGAGTCGAAGTTGAAAAAGCGGATCTCCTCCCCTTACGCCCTGACGACGACGGAGCTGACGGAGGCCGCGGCACTGGTCTCCGCAGACCTGCAGATGTCTGGGTGGCCCAGTGGGGCCTGCAAGGGCCTGCTGCCTTTGACCTCGCTGTCACGTCAGGCATCCGGACCGGCCCGATGCTAGCTGAGTTTGCCCGGTCCAGCCAAGCAGCCGTCGAGACTTACGAAGCCCGGAAGCGGAACCACCTGCACACGGAACAGCTCTGCCGCTCCGAGGGACTTCAGTTCCTGCCCCTCGTCGCTGAGGCCTGCAGTTGGGGGTGGGGCCCGACTGCCGTCTCCACGTGGCGCTGGTGCGCCCTTTCCTGCCTCCTTACCCCCCGCCGCTCTGGTTTAGGTTCTCGGTTCTAGTACCCTTTTGGGGCTTGGTTGCCGCTTTCGTGCCAAGTATCCGCCATAAGTGCTGATACCGCCTGAGTACTCCGCTCAGCTAGTTTTGGGACGTTGCTCTTAAACCCAGCTCGTCGCTGTTGCGTCCGCCATACGAGCCGACGTTCATCGTCCGCCATACGCGCTGGCGTTGTTACATATGGACTTACATTTATACAGTATGTAAGATCTGTCAGTCCATCTTAAGATTTCAAGGTTTTGATTTGATCAGCTTTCTATATCTTCTATGCTTCTCTAATGCATTTGGGTACATTTTCTACTCGATGCGTTAGTGATGCTTGCAGTGCCCTTTCATTGGCGAGACTGCGGCCATGCCAACAATGCAAAACGATCAAGCAAGGCCGAGATTTTCACCAGCTCTCGCCGGCAGTGTCATGGGCAGTCTGACGATCCAAACAGTATCCGACGTTGTAACAACCACGTTTTCTTGGAGGCGTGACTGGTGCCGGAGGCGACTTTATCTTGACTCGCTGGGCAGACAGCTCACTGGGGGCCGAACTGGTGTGCTCAGGAATCTGCACAAGTTGGTCCACAACGCCTGCGGCTTTGGCTCCAATGCTGGCGTTGCACTGGACTTTCCGAAACGAGTGAAGCCACACCGACCAACGAAGTTTGCGATCGGGGGTCAACTTAAATTTTTCTTGAAGCGGATTTGTCGAGCTGACGAGTCTACTTGACAAGCTACGGACTACGCTACTCGCGGCAGGGCCGCAATGGTAGGCGACGCTGGCCAGCGGGTGCCTCGTGGTGGAGCAGGGTGTCCAGCGGCGTGCCCTCATTGGTTTCGACAAAAAGCCCCACCACGCCGCTGCACGGAGTGCGGGCGGGGCCCGGTCACCTTTCAGCACGACAACGCGCGCCTGGTCGTTCCAGCGTCCGCCCACCTTCGATCGACGAGCTGTTGCGGCCCAACGGTAAATAGTGAGCTTCCGGCGTTCTGCTACGACCACCGCTGCACAAGGTTGCGGGTGTCCCGTGCATGCGCGTCAAGGGGGAGACGAGTGTGGCGTCACAGCACCACAAGGGTCTTTTGTTTTCCGCCGCTGTGCGTCGCGCCGTGCACAACCAGGTCGAAGCGGTGCCGGTCTGCGGCTGGCACACTGGCGCGGTGGTGTCGGCCAGCCATTGCTGTGGCAGCCCGCGCAGGGCTGGTGGCTGTACTGCCGGAGCTGCCTTGTTCACTGCAAGACGAGCGAAAAAACGGACATACCCTGAACTGTGCAGGTCCAGCCGCTGCAGGCTCACAGTCCTCGCTCTTGAGGTTGGGGGGCGTTGGAGTGCCGAGGCCGCGACTTTTGTCCGCTTGCTGGCAAGGTGCCGGGCGAGGTTCGTGCCGCCACTTTCACGCACTGCCGCCATCTCGGCTTTCACTCTCCGGTGGTCTGCGCTCCTTTCCTTTGCAGCCGCACGCGGCAAATGTGGACGGGGAGCTCCCACCTCTGCGCGACATCCTCGCCGACTCGCCTTCCCAACCCCCGCTCGCCAGCCGTGTGGTGTGTCTGCGCTCTGCGTGCGCCGCCTCTGCCGCTCTCTGCTGTAGAAGGTTGCCAGGACCGAGCTGCCTTGGACGGTGGTACAAAGGTCCGTGGAAAAAAAAACAACGCCTTCCATTTCAGCTTAAATCAACGGATTCAACTCGGATTCAATCACGGGCACATGTTATGTGAAGTTGGTCGCTACATCACGCATTTCAGCGCGTGTCTTTTTTGAACGGCGCATTGCGTTCGGTCTATACATGTCTATACCAAACAGCCGGATGTGTCGACGGTGTCAGCTGGAAGGAAAGCTTCGCCGTAGATAGAAAGTGCACAGATTAGCTGCGTGTTTCTGTAGCTGCACACGTGCGCGTGCTGGCTAGGTTGGATTCGGATATGGTGGAGCTAGGTGGAGCTCTGTGCCAGCGAGCTCCGGTCTTTCGCCACCTGCACAGCTGAACAACCTCAGGAGCCAAGCTCACTAGGTGGCACGCCAGGCCGTCCCCCGCGAGACACTCCAATAGTGCCGGCAAAATCCTGCCAAGATGGACGACAATCTAGCGACTGCCGCCCTGTCGCTCTGAGTCTCTGCACGCTTATGCGTGCGAGCTCCTATCCCCGCTCTCATTTGCCCCGCGAGACACGTCCACACACACGGCCATGGACAACGAAACGAACCCCAGCAGCACAACCTTGCAAAAAAAAAACGGTACCTGTCACTGTGCATCCTGTCCTGGTGGAGAATGGCCAAAAGCGTAGGTCTGGTACCTTCTCGATGCGGCAGCATGCGGCAGCCGCCGAAGAACTGCGTGTCTACGGTGTCGGTCTCGGGTATCATTCTGCTGAAGGCAGCACAGATCTTCGAGTATCCCCGTGTCTACACATCCTCAGACCTACATGACCCGATATCAGCTGCTGAATTTGGGGGTGTAGGTGTAGGATTGAAATGAAGCAGCGTCGGTCGATATATGGTTTTGGAACCATATCTTCAAGATGTGGGCCAGTGGAAGCTGAGATGGGGCGATGTATAGGTTCAAGCAACAGTACTCGCACGCGCCCGGCGGATGGATCACGTCACCCGGCTTCATGCAAAGCATATGCATCGCATGTGGCAGCTCGGCGAGCTCGGGCAGAGCACAGCTTCTGCTTGCACTACTTGATGTCGCTGCACCTGTTGTGCGACCGAGCAAGGTCTGCGGACGATTGGGCAACAAACGCGGACTACTCGCACAGTCGGAAAAAGGTGTGTTGAAGCAAAACAAATTCCATTTCGCACAGTTGCAGAGGCGTTGCTCACGTGCGCCGTCCATCAAGGATGTTCTTGCCCAGGCAGTGGAAATAACACATCAGGAGCAAAGTCTTCGAGGTGTGGACATCATCGACGAAGAGACGGGTGATAATCAGGCCAACGTGCAGGAGCTCGATGATCTGACTACCACGAATCCGTTGCCATTGGAGAAGGAGGAGCAGGATGGAATTTCCGAAAAAACCTTACGTGACATCCTGGCGCTCGCAACCCTTAAAGATCCTGCAGACTTCGATTGGACACAGTGCGCACGAATCCCGGCCACGGGATGCCGATGCCCCAAGCCAAGACGAGCTCCCTTCCGCTGCAGCCGGCCCAGCAGAGCCGTTGCAACAAGCAACGCGGCCGCGGACTGGCCGCGCGCGGCACGGCAGCACTGCCGCAGATGGCATGTGCGCGCGGTTTTTGTTCGCTCGACGCGGTTGACCTCCAAGCTGTTTGCCAGACACGAGTCCTCACCTTGCAAGCCGCCCCCTGGCGCACACGAGCCACCCTGCGCGCAGGCATGCGCTACAGCCTTTAACGCGCGCTGCACCCTGGGAACCTCGAGGATGCATTGCGCGGTTGGAAGCTTTTCTTCCTCGCCCCCTGCATATTCCTGTTCCGATCCTGTTTGCCACACAGCTTCACCGCCGCTGCGAGCTTACCAAGGCAAAGGAGTGGCGCGGCAGGCTTTGTAAATTTTTTTCCAGTTGGAATGGGGTTGCGTGGCATTGCCTCGACCGCTGTCGGCGGAGAAACGTTTTCACTGCCGAAACGGCGGCGCCATGCGGCGCCTCCCAGATCTGTGAAGTCTCGAAAAATGAGTGTCAATATTCAATTAATTTTAATAGTTTGCACATGTCCAACTGCAAGCAGATCTTTGCAGGTTCTTCAGCTGCACAAAAATGCCGGCAATCAATTATAATCAATTGCCGACACTCGGAACAACATGCGGCTTCCTGCACGCGCAGACATCCAGCCCCGAGGCGACCATCCACGGCGGCATTTGACATGAGCTTTCAATGAGACATTCAGCATCTTCGACAAGTTTGACAGGAGTGCAGCATGAGACCCTAAATCCTGAAATCCCCCTCGGCAGCATGGGCATGCAAGCATCGGCATTCACAACAGGTTAAATGTCATGTCTTCTTGCAAACAAGACTGAAATCATGCACAACCATAAACCTTGTGGTTCCGAAGGGGTTGAGCTCCGTTCATGTTGACATAGCCGCAGCTGTATCATGCCTCACGGTCTCCATCGATGGAGAGATGGCGCCTGCAGGGCGCGAAGCCTAGGAGAGCCAAGGTGTGCGTTTGACGGGTCGTGTTTCAGCTCGCCGCCTACATGCATCATTTGCTGACCCTGCAAAGCAAGGGTTCTCGCCGCAGCAGTTCCTGTTACTTCTTAGGTGATGCAATGGCAGCTGCGCACTGACGTTTCGTCGAACCCTAGAGAGAACAGTCCAGTACTTCGGTTTTCGCACACCAGTCTGTTCAACATGTTGTTCTGCGGGTACTTTCGGTTGCACTTAAAATCGGTCAGCCATCATCCAGTCGTATGACAAGTAGAACAGCACGTCGCCGCGAGTCTTGACAGCGATGGCAAGACGGGAATCATGGATGGGAAGCGGTGTTCTGGTGCGATGGCGGAAAGAAGGTGGGTTTGGTTTCCGCAACATTTCAGCAGGATTTTTAATCTGATCGGTTTGACGTTTCTTGGCACACTGTTGGATCGAAGATTGGAACGAGCTTTTCAAGACAGATTCACCAAGGCTTCATTAAGCCTTCTGACGGCAGCGAAGATTTGTTCTGCCATGTTAGCCAGCTGAGACAAGTCGAGCCAGAGCCAGCACAAGTGTGTTGTCGTGATTGTTCTGTTTATTCACACCTGCATGTTCTAGGATGCCGAGCCTAGTTGCATGCCTGTTTAAGGAGGGTACCATCAAAGAGGGCGACCGGGTTCGCTATACGGTGACCCAAGACGGCTTGTCTGGGACCCTCGGATTGAGGAAGATGCAGCATCAAGAAGCACATGTTGGGCGCAGCTGCGTCACCAGGAACTAGTATAAGTCTAGGTACCGACGAGTCAAACCCAGCAGTTAGTGGAGGCGGTGAGCAGTATGCTCTGTGTGAGCGTGACGGATCGCAGCGTGGTCAAATGGTTTTCACCGCCACACGTAATGACTGGGTTCGAATATGTTCGAATCCTATAGCCGGTTAGCGCAATGACCAGGTACAGTTGTGGGACAGCAACATTTTGAAACAGCGTAAAAGTAACCAGTCCCCAAAATCAAGAAACACAATCATGTACAAGTACGCAAGCCCGAACATGTCCAAAGGAAGCGCATGGCTGGTAACGTTGTCCTCGATTTGACCCACGGCCGCAGCCGTAGTCGGAGGCGGCGTCGCAGGCTACTTCGCATGAGTTGAGCAGGCTGTTTAGGCATGTTCGGGGCACTTTTGTTTTCGTACGGTCGCGCGCCCACGTACGCACGCGTGCGTGCGTGTGCGTGTGCGTGTGCGTGTGCGTGTGCGTGTGCGTGTGCGTGTGTGTGTGTGTGTGTGCGTGTGTGTGTGTGTGTGTGTGTGTGTGCGTGCTTGGAAGTGTTTGGAGATGGATCTCTGAGCTCATGTTGTGCGCAATTCAGATACAACCTGAAGATGGTTCGTTGCACCCAACCGCCCGCCCCACCCGGGTTCTTGGAGAGCAGCTGCTCAGGTCTTGCCACACCAACTCAAACCTAGTGTAATTTCCATTCCTCCACTTGTTTCTATCTCGACTCTATCTGTATGTCTACATCCATGTCATTCCATGTTTGTATTTATTTGTTTCCATTTCTGTAGTATGTAATTAACTGGTTATGTTTTGCTAGGGTATGGCATGGTGTTTTATGTTAGGCTTAGGTCCTAAGTTAATATATGTTTTGTACTCTGTTGTATCATGCTTTCTGTAGGCACATCTTCTGTTCCTTTTTTTGTCGTGTATGTGTATGCATCTATATATATATATATATGTATCTGTATATGTATATGTATACAGTATATATGTATATGAATATATATATATATATATATACATACATACATATGTGTGTGTCTAGATATTTATACTTATATCTATATCTATATCTATATCTATATCTATATCTATATCTATATGTGGAGATATGAGTATCATGTTACACGGATTGGAAAACCTCCGCGCCAAAGGTCTAGCACCAGCAGCAGTAGCCGCAGCCGCAGCCGGGACCGCAAACGGCGGAGCCGCAGCGGAAGCAAGAAACCCCGTAAAGGCTGCACCTCAGGGTCGCTTGTGCTTGTGTTTCGGTGGAAGGGTCGCTCGATGTTGCCAACAGGCTTGTGATTGGTGTCCACGTAAACGGAGCTTTTTCAGCAGTCTCGAGGATGACGATGTGAGACTTTTCGGCTGCACGGGCCCTAACCAGTTTTTTGGAAGGAAGCAGATCTCGGGACGCTTCCAAAGCGAACGATGGAGAGAAGGAGGCGGAGCCAAAGGCCTCCCTTGTTTTATTTCGCATGCTTGCATGGCTTACCGCACGGAAGCATCCATTCAGACAAGCCTTAGCTGATAGTCAGGTGGACCTCGGGCATGCTTGTGCCCGGGTGCACGAATGCGGACATGCTTGTGCAATGCATGCGTGCATACATGTACATGTGACATGTGTGTATTGTGAGTGAGTAAGCGGTTATGTATTGACTTCCGAACAGCTTCGCCAATCAAGGCCACGAATGCTGTTGAAGAGGAGCTTGAAGGGTTGTCCTGCTCGCTGATGGGTGACGGCTGTCCTTGCAGACCGTTGCCCCTTACCCTCCTTCCGTATCGACAAGTTATGATCTTGTTTTGCGGCCGTCTATGGACATAAATGGCGGCAGCCGCACCAAACCCAAAGCAGCGGCAAAGACCCCGTGCAGAGGTCATTCTTCGAAGCTCTCGGTATCCCACATGTCCATGATTTCAAGATGCCCGCCTAGCCCAAAACGCCAACCCGCACTGATCAGGAGAAGAAGGATGAGAAGGACAAGGCCAAGGATGGCGAGAAAGAGAAGCACAAGTCCAAAGACAAAGACAAAGACAAAGAGAAGGTCAAAGACAAGGAGAAGAACAAAGACAAGGACAAAGACAAGGACAAGGACAGGGAAAAGGAGAAAGGCAAAGACCGTGACAAGGACAGGAGCAAGGAGAAGAAAGACAAAAAGAAAAAGCATAAGGATAATGACGAGGATGCCGAAGATGAGAGACATCAAGACAAGAACAAGGCGGAGAAAAAGGAGAAGTCAAAGGAGAAGAAGAAGAAAGACAAGGAAAAGGACAATGAAAAGGCGGCCAGCGAAGATTAAGGACGAATGCTTGCTGAGCACGCCACCCTGCCGAATTGGCATTGCGCCGTCGATGATGATCACCTCTGGTGTCCGTTTTCGGGACAAAGGATCCTCGCATCGAGTGGTCAGAGAAATCTTGCAAAGTCGCCTGTCGAGGATGGCCAGCCCCTGAAACCCGAACCCTAAACCCCCAAAATGCCGATGTCCAGATTCACCTTCGACTTCAGCGGAGTTGGAGATGCAACATTAAGAAATGTAGTAGACGCACGGGGTTTCTGGCAAGTGATCAGACCTGGCGTCACTGATGTGGTCGTTGCCACTAAAGTTACCAGACGAACAGATGTCCCGAACCCCCGGCGTAGTTGAGTTTTGTGTGTTTCACGACGGCGATAAACCGCGCAGACGCAACCTAGATTCAAAAAGCAGGGAGCTGTATATACGTTTTCAGCGAGGGTTTCATCATCAAGGTTTGACCCGGCCTGGTCCGGAAACCGCATCGCATTGGCCTGGCCTGGTGGGTTTGGCAAGTTGTGCTACCCTAGAAAGCCGCACAGCAGCCGCGTCTGAGACACTGCATATAGAAGGTCACGTAGCGCTCGCAGCTCTAGCAGTTGATACTCCGATGTTCCACTAGCACGGCGCGGCGAGAAGCCAAAACACATGCAGGATAATCCGCAGTTATTTGCTGCATTGGAGAAGCCTGTGATTCGACAGCATGTGGCAAAGGAGTGGGACATGTCAAGCAATTGAACGACGTGGCCATGCAGTATAGAGAAGTAAGCAACGCTGTAACCTGGCAAAAAGTCTGCACAAATATCAGCATGACACAGTGCGTTGTAATCATATGCGTTTAGGAGACATGATTGCAAACGGCCGTATATGTTACAGTATATGTTATGTGGGTCACATGTCAACGTCCTTGTCTATGTATATGTACAGAGCCGGACGCGTATATGTAAATGTATATGATATGTATATCTACATGTATATGCATATGGATTTGGACTTGGGTTTGTACATGTATATATACATCTACATATTATGTATACATACACATGCACGCACATGTGCATAGACAACTGCTGCACGCTGTCGGAGCATTTTGGTTACGTCAATTTCACACGTTATTCTATGTTTCTCGTTCTATCTTGATCGAAGGCCTCCGGTTTTGAGGGCTTGTCTCGGATTCGTCTTGGGCCTTCGGTTTTCTGGATTTCGCAGTGGGCGTTGGGGATGAGGTTTGGAAGGCTCCTGAATGTGTTGAACGGCGATCAGGCTTCCGATGAGACGAAGTAGCATTCCGGTAATGTAATAATGGCTAGTAAACTACCGCAATGATTATAGTACATTATAGCAACACTAAGACGATTCAAAAACCAGGTAACCAACCACGTTATTTATACTGGCCAGAGTGCTTCCCAGGGTGCGGCTCTTCGGCCCTGGGGCCCGGGTGCGTCTACACGGCCTTCAAGCCAAGCCGGGATCCCCAAGGGCGGAGCCCATGCAAGGCTTGCTGTATGGGGGTATAGTGATAGTGACGCGTATAAAAGGCTCTCAGGGTTTCGATAGGGGCTTCAAGGGTTTTGATAAAGCTTTAAAGACTGGGTCTCTGAAAGCTACAGGGTACCTCATCAAAAGATCCTTCCCATTTCTCTGGAATTGTGGTTTTGTGAGCTTTTGGGTTTGGGCTTGTGTCGGAGTTCATGTGTGATGACATTGACAAGGGAACTGAGGAGTTGGGGGTTCGTTTACAGAATTCCATATCATGTGTACAACAGACGTGCGAAGTCTTGAACCTCCTGGATCTTGACATTACGAGGGAGCCAGGCTTTGAGGAAGCTCTGCTTCAAAGTGCAAGGCCCGAGCTCAACGACAAAGAGGGCATCTGCTCTGGCCTCAGGGAGTTTCTTGGCTTTGGATGTCCAGGAGATCCGCGGTCGCTGTCCCATCGAGGTGTGGCAGGAAACCTGCACTACCTACGCCCCAAAGCAAGCAGAGTTTCGGTGGAAAGAGCAGGGGCAATGGATTTGGCTCCCGAGCTCTGACAAGCCACCCGGCCCTAGTTGCAACATGGCAGCGGCACCAAAAACTTTTAAATGTTTCTGATGTACGCTCGGTTGTGCAAGCCGACAGCTTCCCTCCACAAATTCGGTGCATAGCTTTCTTAAAGGGAACTTTTCAGAGCGGGCATTCCTCAAGCACAGACACACACACAGAGACCGACACAAAGGGCAAAGGGACAGCCAGAGACACTCCAAACCTGCAGCTGGGAGCCTGGAGTTCAAAACCCCGATAGAGAGCGAGCCCCTACAGTTGGAGACCCCGACTACATGACGGGGAGCTGGGCTTTGAGATTTGGGGTTTTCAGGTAGATGATAACTTTACTTTCCTGCCACCTATGCAGAGCTAAGCTTAGTAGACTGGTAGAAATGACCTCTGCGCCTAACGCCGAGCCGGCCGCAGGCGGGGCTTTGCTTGGCATCGATTTATGCAGTTCTTGTCTGCGAGTCTTCGGGAGTTCGGCTGATGCTGTGTTCTGACGTAGTGCCGTTGAGTAACCAGATCGGGCCGAAGCCTCGTTTACACTGTTTGCAGGTGCAGGAACAGCAGGGGTCGAAGCACTAGCAACCGAAGTATCACCAAGAACTGCCATGGCGGCCACGGCTTGCGAAATCCTTGCCTGTACAGAAGCCAGAGTGAAGGGACCTGTCGTGCCGCATTTCGTAAGTCCTTTTGCGTTTTCTAGTGGAGAACGACATGCACATCAGGTCTGACATCACCACACGAAAGAGCCAACTCTGCCACTAAAGGCACCGAACGACAACACACTGAAATTAGATGTGCTATCGAACAAACAATAAAGAAACACGCGCGCGCAGCAATGTCACTCCTTTCAAGCGAAAGTCGAGTTCTACGACTGTCCCGATGACATGATGATGACTCTCGTATTCTTCTCTTTGCAAGTGCAGCCGGGAGGTATTTTTCTGGACCTCTCCAGCTTCAGGCGAAGCGACGGCACTACCTTTAGGGAAAGCCTCGTTCTGCTGGGTTGGAGTGGGCTGGGCGCGTATGTGGCACATATGGCCAGGGCGCTTCGAGGGTCGCCACGGGTCCCAACCTTTTCCTGTAGGAAGAAAGGAGGACCTCGGATCGTTTCTCAAGGTCTGGAGGATTGCTGTTTCGAGCAGGGACCCGTTAGAGGTTGTCGTGCTACTTGTAGCAGGCAAGGTTCATTCGACCCTCAGCTTTGGCAACCTTTCGAAGGTACCAAATCCCAGACTTCCAAGCCGAATCAGGCAGCCAAAAGCCACACTGTGGGATCGTCTCGTTGGTTCTTGCATCTTCAGACCTTGGCAGAGAGCCCTTCATAGCCCTTCACTACAAACTCTCACACTCAAAGAGACAAAACAGCATTGTAGCGTCCCAAGAACCCGAACCTCTCAAACCCTTAAACCCTGACCATGCATCAAACCCGTAGCCCTAAATTGAAAAAATCCTATTATGCTTAACACTAGCACCCTTTCCGGTGCACGCCTGATGGCTGGGGTGCGGTGCGGGAGTCACGCAAACATGTTCAGGGGGCCTCGTTATGCTTAACGCTGTCCCCCTCCTGGCGCTGAAGTCCTGAACCATGGGTCCACCTGGGGTTCCACCTGGGCCATCCTGGGCCACCATAGCAACCACCCCCAATATTTCAGTAGCACACAAGACCTGACCTTACTGGATTCATTCCGCGGATGCAGATCCCGCAGACTCCACACACGGTTTGATGCTGGATCTTCCTCACCTTTACTCCGTTGGCCACCGCGTTCCGCCCCGCCCCCCCCCCCCCCGCCCACCCCCCCCCGCCGCCCCGCCCCGCCCCGCCCCCACCCCGCCCCGCCCCACCCCCGCCCCGCCCCGCCCCGCCCCGTTCGGCCATCCACTGCCGACGGCTACAGCCCCGCCCCGCCCCCCCCCCGCCACCGACGGCTACCCGGCTACCGACGTGCGTGCCGATAAAAAAACAAGTGTCTGCTCTCTCTCTCCCTCTCTCTCTCCCCCTCCCTTCTTGCTGTGCCACTTGCGGGGCGCATTGCGGCGGGCAGGGCGGGGCGGTGGGGGTGGGGGGGGGAGGCGCCCTCAAAATAGTCGGGGGCGGGGGGGGGGGGGGGGGGGGGGCGGAGCCTGGGCCAGACGGGGCAAGAGCGAGGGAGGGAGGGAGGGAGCAGCAATGAGAACGGGAAGCCCGGTAAGGGCTGCTTGCTTACACACGATTTCTGGCAATGCTGCTTGTTTCTGATGGTGGGGGCTTGAAGCGCTGGGGGTTTGCTTCGGGAGTAGTGTTTCGGTTTTCAAGTGGATTTTCAGGGATATTGCTAGCTTGAACCTGGGACCAAATCGTTGACAGCGGGCTCGTCCAAAAAACCCAGAATTTGACACCAGGGGTTGCCCCAGGTTTGGACCCAGATCTCAAAACCTTGTGTTAAGCATAATAGGAATTTTTCAAGCCCTAAAGACCTGTGGTGCGACGTACTCAGCTGGACGGGTGGCAAATCACCCGAAGTCCTCACGTCATATGCTGAGTCCGAGTTGTGGGAGGGTAAAGCCCAAAACTTCAGACCTTTCAGCCCTGAAAGTGAGAGTCCAAAGCAGACCCTTCGGCTTTGATCACAGGCCAAGCCTTGAGAAGGAAAATCCACAAATCCCACCCTTGGGCACAAGCAGGCACTTCGGACCACTCCTGGAAGCGAGCCAGGCTGGGAATTGCAGGGGCATTGTCATGCAGCGGTTGCTATACATCTTGGTGTGTGTGTGTGTGTGTGTGTGTGCGCTCTTGCCAAGCTTTGGTCATTTGGAGTCTCAAGAGCTGCGTTCTCCGCTTGTAGTCTGGGCCCCCAGGGTGTTAGGGCCTGCTGCTAAATGTTGAGTCGGACTTGCGGGGTTTGATCGCCTCGAACCATGATTCCATGATTGACTAAAGTCGGGAGGCGGGGACCGAGCGTTCGGGTTTCGTGTAACGGCTGGGATGGGATGAGACAGATCGTTTCTCCATTGGATTTTTGATACAGCTTTCATGCGTCGCATTTCCGGCTAGATATGTGCGCACCAATGCTGTCACCCCAAGCTGGTCGAAGAAGGCGTCCTTCCATCCCAGATGCGATGCTATGGCTCGAGCCATGCTTGTATTTGTTTGGCTAGCTCTTTGTACATGTCTTTGTTAGAGGCCTGGTGGCGGGGTACCATGGTTCTCCGGCATGTTAGATGGCTCCAGTGCAGCCAGGCTGGTGGCAGTCCTTCTGGGACTGCTGCTTGCCGCAAGCGCTGTACGTCATTCCCGTCCTGACATGCTGCAGCCTGACGAGGATGTGGACGTCTTAGATTCTGGCAAGTTGGTGCTGAGTGAGACAGATGCCTCCCTTCTGGAAGCGCGCTCAGAACAGTGCTTTGGCTTCCCGGTTTCGGGAGAGGCAGTCGTGGACCAGAGCACACCTGTGGAGAGCAACTGCACATGGCGCGGAGAGCGTGGGCTGAAAGTGGTTCTCAGAGCGCCGTTGACTTTCAAAGGCAGCCTGCTCCTGAACGGCGAGTTGCACATCACGGCTGAAGCGGAGATGAATGAACCCTGCATTACCGTGCTTGGGGAGCTGGTGGTGGACGGGCATGTCAGCTTCTCTTCCTGCGTCAACAAACAACCGTGGAACAAAGGTGGGGCCATCCACACAAGTGGCGACCTGTCGATTTCTGCTGGCAGCACCCTCGAGTTTGACAACTGTTACGCGTGGGACGGTGGCGGCTTCAGTGTTTCCGGAAGCTTACATCAAGGCGACCGCAGTCTTGTGCGTCTCCATAGCTGCCGGGCCAGGTATAGCGGCGGTAGCTTGCAGGTTCTGAACGATTTCAACCAAGGCTTGGGTGCTGTTCTCCATGTGGAGAACAGCACAGCACTGGACGGCGGGTGCGCATGGATTTCCGGACATTTGCGTCAAGACGACGATAGCTCTGCGTACTTCAGGAGCTGCCAAGCCGGAGAAAACGGGGGTGGTCTGTATGTGGGCTCAGTGACCCAAAGCGTGAACGCCCAGCTTCAGGCAAAAGACTGCGCGGCAGGATCAGGTGGCGGCCTGCGCATTCGCAACAACTTCGCACAAGGCTTTAATGCCACGCTCCATGTGGAAGACTGCACAGCTCGACAGACGGGTGGCGGGGTCTCTGTTCTAGGAGGGTTTTATCAAGGCGTGCACAGCTCGGCGCGGTTGACGAACTGCAGGGCGTTGAAGGCCGGAGGTGGTGTGTCCGTCGAACAAGAATTTCTTCAAGGTATGCATAGTTCCGTGCAGTTTGCGAATTGCACAGCAGGGGAGACTGGTGGTGGCCTTAATGTTCTCGGAGATCTCATCCAGGTTTTCGATTCTTCCCTTCATGCGGAGAACTGCCTAGCAGGAACGAGTGGCGGCGGCGTCGCCGTCAAAGGAGATTTTTTTCAAAACGTGCATAGCTCGGCGAGGTTTGTGAGCTGCACTGCAGAGGAGACTGGTGGAGGACTCTACGTCACCAACTTTTCTCAAGAGAACGAAAGCTACGTTGAGTTTAAGAATTGCACCGCTGTTCGACATGGTGGTGGCCTCTATGCTCGGGACACCTTTGCTCAGAGAGCCGGTGGTCGGAGTCACTTCACGGGATGCACATCGTTGCAGCAAGGTGGCGGAGGCCTCGCAACACTTATGCTAGCCTCGAGCGGCTCCATGCATTTTAGTTCGTGCTATGCTGAAGCAGGAGGCGGGCTCTACATCGCAGAAGGTGGACGCATTCAGTGCGCAGGTTCTCTGCTTTTGCAGGACTGCTCAGCCAAAACATTTGCCGGTGGAATGCTAAGTCACGCTCCTGGAGAAGGAGCCATTGCAAGTCTGCGCGTTGAGGGCTGCAGGGCCTTAAAAGCTTCGGCGCTTCTGATGACCGTCATCGCATCAGACCTGCATCTCAAGGAACTGTACCTGATGGATAACACGGCAAGCGATCACATTGATATTAGCACGCTGGGCGGCCTGACAGTTGGGGCCGCGCAGCTTCATTCTCGACAGGGTCGTGGTGTCCAAATCGTCGCGGAACAGTCTTTGCATCTTGAAGATGTGATGGACTGCACCAGCGTCGCTCGATGCAGCTTCTCCTCAAAGGAATTCGATGTCACTGGATTTCGGTGCCCCATCGGCACGGGAGCGAGGGCCATCTTGAATGCAGCTGTTCGAGGATGCTTGGATTGCACCGAGGGCTACACACAGGTCATCCAGGGCAACAACGGGTCGTGTCAGCGATGTCCTGACCAAGCAAGCCAGTGCTTCGCCAGCCACTTTAGGATGGACAATGGTGCGATGGTGCAAACGACGAATATCAGCCGCAGCTTCCGTTGCCCAAACGAGGCCGCATGCCCCGGTGGTGACATGCCGCATGGAGCCCTGATGTGTGCAGAAGGCTACGATGGCACAGGCTGCGCTATGTGCGGGGAGGGTCATGCGATGGCAGACCGCAGCGTCCTCTCGTGTTCCCGCTGCAGCGACGAGAGACACGTCCGGGCAATTCAGTGGATGCTCTTCCTCTCCCAGCGTGCGATTCTCTTCGCTGTCACGTCCATGAGCGCGATGCGTGCCAAAAGCACTGGCGACTTGAAGAACAGCAGCATCTGGTTGAACCAGATGATGGCCTTTGCGACCATCTCCAGCATGATTTTGACGGCGGTTATGCAGACTGAAACGGCAAAGGATATGAAGAGCACAGCAATCACTTTCTTGGTTGGCGCTGCCAGGGGCGTGGCAGAATTTGGGTCAGGTGAGGGTTCCCTGGGGACCGCCTCACAGTGTCTGCTGGTGTACATTGGCTTGGAGCCGACCCTGTGGGGTTCTCACCTGTTGGACGTCGCAGTGGCGACGCTTTTCACGGCAGTGGTATCATTGGCAACAGACAGCCGCCTTGCTCTCATAGCTGGAATGAACTGCTTCTTGCCCGGCATCATAGCGGACTTCGGCAAGTACATGGTCTGCTACCGCTTAGAGCCAGCGCCTGAACTGCCCGTTTCTACCAGATGGTGCCAAAGGCATCGGATTTGGCCAGGTGTCTGCTGCTCTCCTCCTCTTTGTAGCCGCCGCCATTTGGGGATGGATCCGACTCTCCAGCTCAACGGAGGATCCTCCCCCACGTCATGTGGTCTTCCTGAGGAGCAAGTACAAAGAGACGTATGCCCTGTTTGAGACGGAGCGCTTGGTGAGGAAGGCGCTCTTCAGGTATATCGGAGCTGTGCTTCCCATCGCAGCGTCCCCAGCTCTTCAGATGGGCTGCCTAGGTGCAGTCGTCTTTACGTCGCTGATGCTCTACTGTGCCGCCCGCCCATATCGTACACCGGAATGGAATCGGAGCGAGATCGCCTTGTTAGCCACCACTATGTACATGGTCCTGATGGTGTCCAGTTTGCTTGCCAACGAGTTTCATTGGGGCCACTCCGTGGCCACACAGCAAGTCATCATCGTCTCCACCTTGATCACTGGAGCAGTGGTGGGCTCCTGCATGAGCTTCCGAGTGTTCCAGGAGCTGGCTCAAGAGCAGATTCGGACCGCAAGTCAAGTTGCCTAGGTCGGCGCCGCACCTACCAGTCTGGACTCTGGAGGTTTGGTGGGCTGTGGAGTTCGGGATTCCAGACTCCAAGCCCTGCAACAGAGCGCCGCACATGTCAAAAGGCAGCTCACCGGGCGAGGCTGGTGCGCAAAGTGAGAGTCGAAACCCTTGAATTCTTGATGTAGCCACCAGATTTTAAAGCCTAACAGGGCCTAACACCCCAACAGCCCAGCTTGCTGTCGTCCAAGGAGGACCCAAACCCAAGAGCACTAAAGACATGCTGCTGGAGGCCTATGCCCAGCTCAGCGGCCTCCGTTTTCGGATCTCCTCTTTCCAGGCAATACTATGTTACTCCCCGTGATGGAACACGGCTTTAAGGGCTTGAAGTGAAAGCAATTGGAGATTCCACCCTTAGCTCGCGGCCAGAGCATGCAACAATGTAGCAGCATTAGGAACGGCATCAAGCTGTGTGGAGACGTGTTGGCCGCAGGAGGCCTGAAAAGCTCCAGAATTTAGTTGGATGAGTGGCGAACCGATGTTTGAGCCTGTTGTCTTGAGCGGAACTTATCACCACGTTTCCGATGATGGGAGCTTGTTGCTGGCTGTGTTTCGCCGGCTCGTTGGACGTTACAGGCTAGCACATACGACAGCGCAGTGCTGCAAGATGCATGGCCAGAAGGCCACTGTCGTTGCGAAACACTTGGAGAATAAAACGCCAAACCAGCCAAGCCGCCAAAGCTCTTGGATCGTCAGGGGTCGGAAGCCAGCGGCCCACCCATGGAGGTCTGGCCATCTTGTGCTTTCCATCTCCTGCAGCCCTAGGTGTTTCCAAACCTCGGAAGCTTTTCTCTGCTCAGTAGCTGAGTGGATGCACTTTACGCTTGTTGGATATACTCCACTATCAACTGTCTGTGTACACTTTTTTGAGGCTTATGAACTCAGCAACTAAGCCTGGGTCCTCATGTAGTTTCGTTTGGGATCTACACCAGCAGTGTTTCAGATCCTCGGCTCGGGTTCCAGGAGCTCTCCGGGGAGCGCCGCGAGCGCTTGGCAGCGCGGGAGTTGGCTGCACCACAGGCTCCAAAGCGGGGTCGAAAGCTCGGAAGGCAGAAGGCCCTTTCTGATTCTGCTTTGCAGGTAGCAACTTTTGCGGAGCGGCTCCAGAATCGGGAGCCCTGCCTCCTGGAGGACGCGCCGGGAGTGAAATGAGCGAATTGTCGGACAGCTGGAGCTTGGAGGATTTCTTTCGTGGTGGAAGCTGTGCAAGGGTGGTCCGATTCCGGAGCCAGATAGATGGAGAGTTGTCCTTGCTCTTGTATGATCTGGTTGGTGGGTTGGTGTTGGTGTTGTTACTTCTCTTCGTGTCAGAATGCAAGCATGTATATCTGTCATGTGAGACGGCGGTAGTGTTTCGAACTTGCAGCTGCTTCTGCGCAAAAGCTCGGAGGACCATGTTGGATTTGGCAAGACCAGATCCGTCCCTGCTAGGGTTCAGGATCTGTAGGACCCAGACATATAAACTGGTTCACGGGTGATTTGATGTTTTGGTTCGCAGCTGCCCTCGAGGTGTATTAGGTTGCATTGTGCCTCTGCGCCCGTAGCGATTCTCTTTGGGTTGGGGTTGGGAGTCAACGAACTCTATAGGAGCTCGAGCGCGCCTTCCGCATTGTCATGGTGGAAGGCCTGGCACGCAGCAGTTCCCTGTCAACCCAAATCGACGTCTTGGAAGACGGTATACGGTATATCAATATCCTCACAGAAGTTCGCCCTTCATCTGGACTGCTCTGATCATGGAAGGCGTGCGCAATGCAATGATCGCTGCATTTCAGCACCTCGGCTTTGCGGAGTTTCGGCCTCACCTTGCTTGGTTCGCGGAGTCGAAGACACTGGTTGCTAGAGCAAAGCTGCGTTCTTCGAAAGCGTGGGGCCCGTGCCGTGCTCCCATGGACCTTCGATGACCTGTGCAGGGGCAGAAGGCCATAAGGCTGCTGCAGTGTGGACATTCACGGAGCACTTCCTGCGATCCTTTCGTCCCCGCTTTGCATTAGGCGCCTGGATTTGTGGCCACCGCAGCCGCCGCCGCCAGGCATCACCAAGGAACGTAATATGAGCTGGGAGTCGGATGTTTGCATATCTGACAGCAGTGAAGCCGTGGCTTCTTCACGGGTTCGTCTGGTAGACGGGGGGTGGCTGTGGCAGGCATTGAGGACGACGATTGCTGTTACGAGGCAGGGCAGTTTTTTGACATCAATGTGTGGTATCAAAGAAGGCGTGCTGGGCTGACTGAGTCAAGTTTGAGAGGATACAAGCTCCGAGATGCGAAGCTTTTGTGTAGCCGGGGTTCTGGTGGAGATAGCTTCAGGCTGAAAACCCCATAGCTTGGTGTGGAACCAGGTTTCATGTCAATGTGAAGGCTGTCGGAGCCACAGCTGCCTCAGTCAAGTGTCCCTGCCCTTTCACTCTGCGCAGGATGTCAACTCTCCCGTTCCTGTCATCGCGCAACGGCTATACAACGATGATGTGCGGAGGCTGTGTGGGACTTGCGAACATGCATTTGCCAAGTCGGGCACCAATGCAGGGCAGCGAAAGCTATCTCCATTTGGCCATGCATAAATTCAGCCGTGCTGCCCATCCAGGAACAGCGTCCCAGCAGCAACAACAACAGCTCAGGATGGAGAAGCCGTGCACCCGAAGCCTTAAGCTGTTGGACCCTACAGGTTGCTCGCCGTGCCCTGCGACGGCGTGCAGTCTCCCTGGCTGCAACGGGCGCTCACCGCGGCCTTCATCGTGGACTTTGCGACTGAGGTGAGCCCGGAAACTTATCAGGTGCAGGTGAGAGACCGGAAGTCGTAGACTCCTGGAGATGTAGATCCAATCGCTGGAAAGGTTGGCTTGCCCTCTCCAGAGATGCCACCGACGCAGCAGGTGGGAGCCTTGGCTTCGTACAAAGAGCTGTGGCCCTTGGAGGCTAATCCTCGGTAAGGTTTGCCTGAACTGTTCCGTGAATGCTGCGCAGGAGATGATCGAAGAGTTTAGCCTCCGCATCCAGGAGCTTCAGCACCAACCGCAAGTTCACAAGAGCAAGGGGGCTATCCAGAAGTCAGCTGGAAACTCGAAGCTAGCACAGGAGGAGAAGCTTGAAGGTTCCGAGCAGGTTGACTTTGTCCATGCTGGGATGTCGTTGAGCGAGTGCTTCAACCGGTTCATACGAGTCCGAGCGAGCAGAGAGCGCGTGCTTAATGATCTGAGATGCTGAACACAGAACGGAAGAAGTGGCTAGACCGAGCAGAGCGCAGGAGGTGAAGGTGTGGATCGAAAGCCCATCAGACATCTACCGTAAGACTTGTTCGTCTCGCTGCAGGAGTACGAGTCTCAGCGTGCGGCTCCTTCAGCCGCCAGTGCCGGCGGCGCCGAGCCCGAGCAGTGCCTGGGCGGTTGAGTGCTCTGCAGTGAGGGTTTTTGTGTTTAGGGTCGAGTCTGGGTTCGATTTCTGGCCCGAAGCTCAGGTGAACCTGCGGGGGCGGCACTATTTTTGTTCAGATTATGTCCATGAACCCCAGACTCCATTTCAAGCACAAGGCCCGGAACGCGACGGGATTCCAAAAGCCCAACATCAGGTAGTTCTATGCGAACTTAAACTTGTGATGGGTACGTTCTTCAAGTGCCTTTTCTGTCGTTCTGATGGTTGCCATGATACGCTTATGTTACACTTATGTTTAAGGAATAGGTTCCACCTACCCGTCTACCTACCTATCTACCTACCTACCTACTATTTATCGATCTGCCTGGCAAATCTATGTAGCTATACTGCTATCTTCCTATCTATCTATCAACCAATCTACCCTTCTGCATATCTACAGGCATACAAGCATCACCCACGCATGCATACAATTTCATGTAATTTTTGGTCAAACTTGACCTAGTTCATTTCTGTGTGGCAATCGTTGTGTTGAGGCACCGGCTGCGCCCAGCCCTGGAGGCCTTTGAACGAGCGCTCGCTCCGCTGAAGGCAGCGGGCCACGGGCTTCGGATGATTGTCCAAAATGTTCGGGTGTCGGTGCCGATCGTCCGTGCCCTAGCCGGGCTTGGGATGCGGGAGCATCATCGGGTCCAGGTTTTTTCATTGTGAGGTAGCAGGTAGCAGTTTGTGCACATTTGCAATCACGGGCGTTGGGTGGGATGGGTTCGGTGAGGGGTGATGATTCGATTGATTGGTGTATTCATCTCCGTCTCTGTCTCGCTCTCTCTTGTCGCTCTTACTATCTCCAGCTGTCTCTGTCTCTGCTTCTTTGTCTCTCTGTCTCTCTCTCTCTCTCTCTCTCTCTTTCGCTCTCTCTTGTTTCGTGTTTGTGTGCTTAATGTTAGTACTGTGTGACCCTTGTGGATAGGCAGATGGGTCGAAAGTTAGATGCGGTATGCACACGGTTTTACGTTTAGATGTCTACACCAAATTGGGAGATCAGCTGCTGCAAGCAGGCGGAGTCCCAGCGTCTACGCGAACAGGGAGGCGAGGATGCAATGTTCAGAGTTCCATGAGTGTTGGCCCATGTGGGGCTGTGGTAGTGAGTGTAGCAATGCACTAGGAATGACAAGAGAACCGGTGGAACAGTCTAAGCCGAGTCTAAGCGCAGCAGTGGTCGTGCGCAATCATCGCATGCTGAAACGCGACCAGCGGCTAAAACACAGCTGTTAAGCAGTTAAGCTGCCACGATGCCCGAAGTTCCAGTTTGTTAGAACCCTGGTAGAATTGATGTAGAACCCTATTCAACAGAACCTGTTGGCATCCTGCTACACGTCTTTGCCTTTGAACTTCAATAGTCGGCATTTTGGCGTACCCCCTTTGGGCTACTTTGTCGAGGTCGCTGTGAATGTCGTACGAGAAGGAAGCAAAAAGTCAAAGTAGTTTTGTGTTTGTAAGTGTTCAAAAAATACATAGTAGAGTGGTCTGAAGTCGCCGAACACCGCTGAATACTACAGTTGCGGTTTAGATTTAGAGATTAGGGCTTGTCCGGTGCCTCAAGATTCTGTGGCTTGCCTTCAGCAGCAGCCGACCGAACACAAACTGTCACAGGTAGGGTTTCTGGTTTTTGTAGAGTCGGATTGAGGCTCAAAGGGCCTTTGGCCCCCTGCCTTTGCCATTTGAGCTTCGGACGGAGTTGCTTCCGCAAAGTGAGAGGGGGTTCTTGAGTCGGAAGCCATGCACCCCAGAAACCAGGGCTTCGCCGCGCTGGGTTTGGGGAGCTTGAGATCGGCATTCCGCCTTACGCAGAGATCTTGCCGTCAGGGCGCTTTGTGGCCGAGAACAAGGCAGTCCGGGCGGCTGTGGTGTCGGACGAGAGCCTTCGTTTTGCCTGTCAAAAGCTCTCCTTAGGGCTGAGGCCGAGGCTTATTGACGGCCAATGTCTGAGCTGCTTGTTTTGTGCTTTATACCTCTGGTCGGCTGTCGCTAGGGTAGTCCGACAGCCCGAAAACCATCAAACCGCCTAAACCCCTGACTCCGTGAAGCAGAGACGAAAGGGCCGATTAAACAAAACTATCAATCCTAAGTCCTATGACATCAGTGGAGCTGTCAGACGGCGATCGCCCTTGGCGCGGTGGGCGTGGTGGGCGGTGCAGTGGCGGCCGCACTGGCAGGAGGAGTCGCTGTTGGGGCTTGTTCCTGCCATGCCCTGAACACGGTCCAGCTTCAGAAATGCACATGTTTTGGTGTTTGGTTAAGTGCTCCCCAGCATCCTAGTGCATAGATTTGACTGCCTAAACCACGCTACGTAGGCACTTGCACGGTAGCAGATGGTGGTGCTATGGCCAGTTGCGGAAGCTACACCAAGTGGCGTGCCTCTCCCATGTCAGTGGCTTCAGCGAAATTCGTGATAGAAGCTGTTAAGGCTGTTAAGGCTTTACTGACAGGCAGATAGCTCTCCCAAGCTTACATGGGGGCTTTTGCGAACAAAGCCTCCGTGATCACGAAACTTTAGCCGGGAAGCCCTTGCTTTGGTGTCAGGAATACATGTCCTTCAACGAAAATGCAGACCTTTTCGGCACATGCGTACCGTGCACTAGTATTCTGACCTGCCCACACCCCCAAAAGGAGCCATCGTTGCTGGACGATTTGTTCACAGAGGCAACCAGGACAGCGCATGTCAGCTCGTTGCTTTGCGAGCTGCAGGTGTCAGTCCCGTTCTGTTACGGACAAAAACTACAACTCAGCATCTCATCATCCAGTCGAGTGTAACCATCCTCTAGGGTAGTGTCTCTCTCCGTGTGTGTGTGTGTGTGTGTGTGCTCGGTTGAATTGTATGTATGCTTTGTCATGTAATTAAAGGATCTATTGATGCCTACGGACATGCGTGCATCTTTGTGTATAGTCTTCCTATCCAGCGCTACCCATGTATCGCGTTTCAAAAGCAAGTTGATGGCTCGGGCTGCACCCGACGATCGTGTTGTGGCAAGCAGGGCTCCAGAGTCTAAACCCACAGAGGAGAGACATGCACGGAGTTGTGAGAATTCAAGCAAGAAACAAGGGCACCGAGCCGACCTCGAGTCTCATCCGCGCAGGAGCCCCCCAGAAGCGGAGAGACCGAGCAAGCTGAAGAGTGAGAAAAGGACCCTGCAGCGCTCGGGAATCCTCAGGGCTGGTGGGATTCAGGGCGGTTGTGGGGTTTGCCGCGGTGGCCAAGTGTGGCGGGGTCTTCCTTTGCGCGCCCGATGTCTACATAGCTCCATGCATGCATCCATGCATATAATATAGATACGCACACATCTGAACGCATGCATGTAGATGGACGAAAAGCTTGCGTAGGGCACAAGAACTGGTAGACTTAATTACTCAGATTCGTTAGTTGCCAGTTTGTTTGGGTCTACTCTGCACAAAGGCCTGGAGCTCAAGAGCGACTCTGGGCGTTGGCTCGTCCCCTCCTCAGCCCCCGGAGCCTTTGGTTAATGCTCTAACGGTTTAGGGTTGTTAGGCGTTGAGGAGTAAGTGCTGGGCTTTGGATGTTGGAGCTTACGAATTTTTCCAGGGGCTTTGGAGGATAGGGTTCATGCAACCAGGCGGCAACCATGCATGTATATTCATGTGCATATGTATGCGGAAGTCTACTTGTATGTATATGTGTATGCAGATGTATGCAGAGGTCTATGTGTCGATCCTGGTTCCTGTCATGTCCAGGGTCTCAGTCGGTCCTGGCGCCTCAGGTCCGTCTGGATGCCTCGGCCGGGGAGTTTGCCTTCAAGGAGGCACTGCAGAGACAGAGGACAGAGACAGAGAAGAGAGATTCAGAGAGTCTCTTGTCTTAGGGTGGCTCCTAAGCCTTGGCCTTGACTTATTGATCCTCTGCTAGGCTTCGGGGCCTTTGGACAGGCTAGGCAGGTAGGTCGAGGCAGTGTTGTAAAGAGTTCCGTGCTTCTAGTTTCACTGTGCTGGACGCAGGACGTTGAGATCCGCTTCGTAAAGGGGAGTGTGGGGAGCGGGCGGTCGACACCCCCACGCCAAATCTTGGGCAAGCAAGCAAGAGAGAGGGAGAATCTGCTGCGTGGGCAGGGCAATCTCCAGCTTCTCTCAGCAGCGAGCCCAGCACGTCTTTATAACAACGAGCTGGGCTTTAGAGCCGAGAGTTCCAGAGCTTTGGCGCTTGAGTCCGGTAGTATGCCTTCAGAAGAAGCCGATGGCCTTGCGAGATACCAGCAAGGACCGGCAGCCGGCAGCGTCCTTCAGCACGTGACTGAATAGCTTAGCCAGTCTTGATTTCCCAACAACAGGAACGTAAGGGAATCGGATAATCTTTCTAAGGATGACGACACGTTTCCGAACCTACGCGAATGCACAACAGGAATCGGGCCTTCCGAAGCCTTCGAACAAGAGGTTCTACTCGCACTGCAAAGGTTGTCAGCCCCGAGCCGAGGCTTGCGCCGCCAGCCCCGAAGGGGTCTCGGTCCTCCAGGGCTTGGACACTCTGCTCTTGCAGGCTCCCATATTACAGCTTTGTATATTGGATCAGATCATACTATGTCCTATGTTATTATCTACATGTCCGGTAAGAGCCCCAATTGTCGATGCCAACTCGAAAGGACGGGACGTGAGGATTCGCAACAGGCAGTCGGCCAGAGCTTGCGAAATAGCGACAGAAGCTAGATGGCATGTCATGGGATCTCAAAGGCAGAGGGTGAGCTTCAAAACAGGTTCCAGGCGGAATGTCATGCTTCAAGCTGAAGCTCCATGTTGCCCCACCAGCGCAGCCATTTCCCGGCCGTTTCAGCTGTCATCTCATCCTCCATGGCATCAGAGAATTCAATTCTTTTACCCTGACCCTGACACCGCTCCTTTGCCTGCAGATCAATCTGGAGGGCTCAGGTCGCTACTCCGAGCCGCCTAGCTGCGTGCATCCACATGGACCGCGAGCGGACCATCGACCGAGCGAGGCCTCAAAGGGCTTGGGAAACTGGAGACTGCCCCGGCCCGCGGCGAACGTCAATGAACAGTCCGGAAGCACTGAGTGCAAACGCATGCTCTGATTGCATTGACACGGAACCAGCTCAAAGACTGAAGAAATCGAAACCCAAGGAACAAGCAGCACTGCTGCTTTCCATGACCACAAGAGTAATGGATGTGCAGGACGCCGAGCTGTCAAGCCAAGCCTGAAGCTGAGAAATTTTGGTGGTGGAGTGAGGCGTTCAGAGTGCAGGGGGCTGCACTGATGTAGGGTGTTACTAGTAGGGCTTTGGGATTGAGACTTCTGGGAGACTCGAATAAGACCAGAGCCTCGTCTGCCTAAGGCGACCTGCGAGCCCCAAGGCGACTCGCGAAGCTGGGCAGAAGATTACGGCTCGGTTTGGTATATGCTAAGACGTGCGAGCATAGCATGGTCAGGAATCAGACGTACGCAGCAGCAGTAAGTAGCAAGAGTAAGCAGTAGTAGCAGTAGTAGTCGTCGTCGTCGCCGTCGTAGTAGTAGTAGTAGTAGTAGTAGTAGTAGTAGTCGTAGAAGTAGGGGCAGCGGTAGCGGTAGAGGTAGGAGTCGCAGTCGCGCTCGCTGTCGGCGTCGTTTGTCGAAAGCAAGCCGCAGGTGCTTTCAACAACTGTTCAGAAAATCCGGCTTCACAGACGCTTCCGGTAGTACTGCTCGCATTGGTACGAGCAGAACGACAAGAGACTACCTCGAGATCTAGTTCGCTGTAGCCCGAAACACGGCAGCCGCCGAAGGCTTGCACAAACTCCCGGGTCCGTCGTCAATACTAAGCCGTTCAGGTTCTACACAACATGCATCACGACGTAGTAAGGCACTGTGTGCACCATGGCTTATGGCTTCTGTTTCTTCTTCAGGGGCACAGTGTTCTGATGCATGATCCGAAGGGCCTGTTCACTGACCGCCTCACTCCTGGGATGATGAATCCGAGCTTGTTTATTAGCCTACATGCTAAGACCCTGACCCTAACCCTCTTTTGCCCTTCTCCAATCCAGACTCCTCCGAGCAGCCGACTTCGGCCCAGAAGCTGCCAGACACGCTCCGCTTCGCCCTCCGCCGCACGCCATGGCCTTTGCTCCGGCGACCCGTAGAGCCCGCCCCGCCCTGGCCCTGATGATGGCCGGAGTGGGGGTGAAGAACTGAAAATACAATTTTTGCAGAAGATGTCAGGGATTCGAGACGACATGCTGCACGTATCGAAACTCATCTGTGCGGCTGCCAGAAGTTTCTGACGTTTTTCATGGTTTTCATGACTTGCAAGACATTCCTAACTAGAGATTCAAGTCCAAATTCTTCATGCGTAAGTGCCGAAGTCCTAAAGCCCAAAAGCGTCGAATGCTCAGCCCGATGCAGGCCCTAGCAGGGCTTTATGCCCTCTTCTGCAGGACTGCGGGACATAGGAAAGTGTAGTTAATTTCTTACAGGGTACTGTAGCTACCTTCTGAGATTACACAGCGCCATACATATTTGTTGTAGGATGATATAGGCATATACAGCATTGGGTGCAGCATTGTAATGCTTTCGACTCGTATGACCGATGTCGAGGGATCAGTAGATTCAGGGCTCCTGCAGTCTCTGACGAGAACCTCACAAGATGAGCTGCAAGTGTTTGTGTTAATACAGCCCCCCCAACCCCAAACAAATGTCTGGATGTGGAGTGCATCACGTTGGGCATGAGGGCATGTGCACGGTGAAAAAAGGCATGTTCAGTTGTGGGGCTTGCGCAGTTCTGTTCGGGTCTTCGCTCGGACAAACGTATGCGATACATTGGTGTGGCGGATGCTGTGCACTCAAGTGGACAGGAGCTCGGCCTTCGTCTCTGGTACCCCATCGCTGCGCAGCCCAGGGCGCTCAGTGGCCGCGGCTCGGGCGCTTGTTTCTGTGGAGTCCGAGGAGTCATCTTCAGCTCTTACCGCAGTGGTTGTGCAAGAAGGGCTGGGTTGATTGACATCCCAGGCACTGCTGTCATCCCATCTCAGGCAGATGCATAGCATAGGTTCAAAAAAAGGCGCTTTCCGAGTTGTGGAGTTGGGAGGATTTTCTGCTTGGGTTGAGGGGTTGAGGACCGCCTCAAAAGCAGACAGGTGGACCCTTGAGGGAAATCGATGTCACAACAACGTGGTGCTGAATTGAATCAGGGATTTGTACAGAGCAAGCTGAACAGAAGGCTGACACTAAAGATTATCCGGGCAAAGCAGGTGGTGACAAACAGCAGGCATCCAAGTGCAAGCAGTCAAAGTTGTGAGAAGGATGCTTTGTCACCATCGATGCGGCCACGCCACTAGACAAACATGTCAGAACATGAGCACTTGGAGTGTTGTAGGATAGGATACATGGCCACTCATTGCGCTGAGGTGTCCCGAGAGTCGAAGGTGGATGACATTGTGGAGGCCTGGTCAGTTGAACTGCCACTAGACCCAAGGCAGGCGGGCGGGAGAGCGGGCAGGCAGGCAGGCAGGGCAGCTGCCCATGTGCCTAGCTCCCCAACTCGCATACCGAAGCCTGCCGCCGATGCAAAAGTTTAGGAGGTTTCAAGCAAAGTCCCGCTTCATTGTATTCAGGGTCCTTGCTTCATCATCCCAGGCCCGATGCGGAAATTCGCACAATTTTCCAAGAAGCCAGAACTTGAAGCCCTTGGACTTATCATCATCATGCTCACAATCATAAATGTCACCCCCCCCCCCAAAAAAAAATGCTCGCAAGACTCCATCGGCTAACTGACAAAGCCAAGCCAACAAGGTATGACAACATAGGCCCAAACAGCGGAAATCAGAGAGCAGCTTTTGTTCAGCTCGATGTTTGCCGCCAGGAGCTCAAGGGCTTGACATTGCTAGAGGCCTCGGAACTTGTCAAGGCCTGGGCCAGGGCCCGGATGGAGGGGTCAAGACACTTTGAAGGGATATGCTTCGGGGCCCATCTCCGTGGCGTCTCTGCCTGTGGCGCAAATTCCGCTTCAGCTGTCGACGTCTCCGTTTCGCAGTCTTCCTCTTGAAAGCTGGCAGCCTCAGGCCATTGAGGAAACCTTCGGAGTGGATGCCTCCGCATCCGCGGGTGCAGTGGTGATGGCTGCCCCCGGTGCGGGCGCTGGCGGTGAGGCGCGGGTTGCATCCTGTTGAGCCCAGTTTGGGAATTGAAGTGGATTTGCTCATTGCCGGCCGTGTGTGAAAGCCCATCAGGACTGTAGGGAGGTCCCAGCAACCAGAATCTGCCCGGTTGGCTCACTTGGACATGTTGGTACTTGCTGCTGCAAGTCTGTTCGATGGTATTGCTTCGACTATCCGAGGTGCGCGCACCATTGTTTTGATGCAGCACCTTGTTGTTGATGTTGTTGAGGAGGTTGCTTACATAGGCAGCCGTAGTTCCGCGAGGCAAAAGTAAATACTGTGGTAGCTGGCAAGCTGCAGGACTCAACGACGGACTACATGGAACACGTGCCGACAAGAGCCACATAAAACAGACGATACTGTACCTTCGGCACTCCCAAACCCGCAAAACCCGAAGCCCTGAGCCCCAGAACTAAAACTCCACACTTGTAAAGTCTACAGACATGGTGCTGCTAACTTCATAGAGAGAGAGCGGCGTGCAGGCTGAGGCTGCCGCAGAGGAGAAGACGGAGTTTGACCTCATCCTCAAGGTGCGCTTTTGCAATTATTACTCTCTCTTTCTCCAGCTTTGAAGGACATGAATACCATCTACCTATCTGCGTATCTACCTCGCGATCCATCCAATTATCTACTTATTTATACCTATCCGGCCCCAATGTGGGCTGGCATGCCTTTTGTAGTGTCGTCAGTTGTCAAACCCTCGTCTGACTTGTCGAGCACGAGTGACAAAAATACCTATCCGAGTCTTATCTAACCTAACGTATCTGAAATGTGTTTAACTTCATCTCTACGAACTATTTATCTGTCGATGCATCGGTCCATCTATCTGTCTAGCTATCTATCGATCGGTCGGCCCACCGATGCATTTATCCAACGAGCTGTCTGTTTATCCACGTCTACGTATCTATCTATATCTATCTATCTGCCTATTTAATTACCTGTCTATCTACTTGACTATCTATCTATCTACCTTTCTGTTTGTCTTTCTATCTGACTATTTACTTGCTTGTCTATACCAATCCATCTACCTGTCTACTTACCTATCTATCTGCCTGGTTGTCTGTCCTAGCTAGCTGGCTAGCCATTTAGCTATCTTTCTACTTATGTATCCAACCAACCTACGTGATCTATCTATCTACTTAAATCTACCTACCTGTCTATCTAGCTATCTATTTGAGTCTGTGTGTACATACAGAAAGACATACATACACACATGCACATTCAGGCAGGATACATGGCTTTTTTGCATAGATATGTGTATCCATATCTGTTTGCGTATATCTTGCTGTCTTCTTTGTCTTTTTCGGTGTCTCTGCAGCTCTGTGTCGCTTTCGAGTCTAATGCCTGGGTTTGAAGGTGTCGATGTTCATGGTTCCGAGAAAGTCTCATCTAGTAAAGCTCCACGATCTACGACGGCCACTTTGTCTCAGGAAGTGCCCAAGGAGAAGAAGATTGCAGCCGCTTGGGTTCCATTGGCTGGTAAAAACTCGAGCTTTGCAAGTCCGGATCTAGTCCACCTCCTCAACACCGGCCACAAATTTTCAGCCGTCCATGTACGAAGTATCTACGCATGAAGTTCACATGAAGTTGCTTAAGAGATAAACATGTGCATACAGCGGCATGAGGTCAGCTCAGCATCACAGAAGCACACACTGCCTGCTGCCTCATGCGCATTAAAGGCTCCAGAACGGATTCGGGCAAACGAGTCTGACACGTTACACCTTGGCAATTGAGCACGATAGTTGAGACCCTAAACTCTATGGACACGACAGAGCCATCATAAAACACGAAGCAGGACAGAAGCCAGCTCCGGCAAATTGCTAGGGTTGGCAGGGAGCGGACATCTCACAACTCATACGGATGGATTTGAAGCCTTTGCTTCGTCCCCTCACAAGAGGTTGAATCGTGAAAGCCTTATACTTCTAATGCAAAAAGCGGGCTGAAATCGTAGAGCCTGAACTCCAATCGCAGAAAACAACGCACCCTGCACATCCATTGAAGCCGCTCGGAACACTACCGATAAGAAACTTGGGCAATTCCCTAAGCCCAATAATCGACCCCAAACGCTGGACTTGTAAAGAGCCCTGCGAAAGGTCATCAAGGCAGTGCGGGCCATCACCGGTCTCGGTTTGAAGGAGCTTTGGGGCCCCTGTGTTACATGGAACCACGGACTCAGCTTTGCGTGGTCGAGTTCGTAGGGGAGCAGGGTGAAGAGCTTTAGGTTTTTGAGGTCG